AGTTTGTTGCTGTTGTAGCTCATCAATACAAGCCCTTGTCAAAAGCCTATGCACATTGTTAACTTCCTAAGTGATAAAAGCATCATTACAGTTTTAAGGAATTGAAGTGTGTATTCCATGCGTGTCAAGAGCTGAATCAGCTGTTGGAATGAAGAAAATAAGAGGAACATGGATCTGTGAAAAAAATGTGGTCTTCGGTTAGCATAAAGTGTGTCCACAGTCCACTGGCTCTATTGAAACACACGCATGGGGACAGGTTTGGTCGCGGCTTTGAATGTGTGGTCGCTGGTGAGCTTGGATTTGACACAAAACTATCAACTAAAACTTTTGTCACACAATGGGCAGTAAGGTAATGTAATGTCCCTCTATAGGGAAATTTGTCCTCATTTGACCCATCATTCTGTACAGTGCAACCCGTCAGGAGCCCTTCCAGCCCTGGGTTAGGGCTGGAAGGTATCAAAGACTTCCACTTTTCTTAATTTATTGTTTATTTGGTTAGGAAAGTGCATGTTATTGAACCAGTGGGGGCGGGTTTTGGCTCAAAAGTGGCCAAAATGACGTGCGCTGACATGCTTGTAATACCACCCCGGGCCGATGGGGGTGGACCCAGAAGAAAAATTAGCCAATGCTAACATATAGCATTGGCAGACCTCTGGAAAACGTCTTTACAGGATGGACCAAAAGTTGGCTCTTGGCCCAAAGCTCCGTTCCACATGTGTGTCAATGCTGAGGGGGGTTAATTTTTTTGGTCCACTCTAGGTTACTTGCTGTGAATTTTTGAAGTCTCTCGTTCAAATGAATGGAGCTCTCGCCAGCTGACGCATGCGCAGATGCGTTTTTTCACAATTTTCTTGTGGGCGGGATCACTCGCGGCCATTTTGGATAGCTCCAGTAGAGCACATTTTTTGGCCCATTAGTTAGAATGCCGGAGATGGGCGTGACTCTGTCTGTTAATATATACAGTCTATGTATTGTAAGCACCTCTCTGGATTGTAGCCTTGAGCTAATTTGCATCCATTGTCCCACACTCGCTCTCACAAACACACTCAGTCACCCTGAACTATTGTACATATTTTTAGGGGAAACCGGAGTACCCAGAGGAAAGCTACGCAGACACAGGGAGAACATGCAAACTCTACCTGGAAAGGACTGGAGGTAGAATCGAACCCAGTACCTTCTTGTGAAGCACAATCGCTAACTACTGCGCCACTGTGCCGCCACCTTAAACTCAGGAAGGAACTATCAGTAGCTCTTAACCCCATTCCACCAAATTTCTCCCTTGATTCTATGTTACAATGTATCATTTTAATTTGATGTATCCCGTGTTTATTTATTTGGCAGCTGTATGCAAATGTACAGCCTACTTTACCCACAGCAGTTATGACAATGGCTTATCCGTTATAGATATCCAATTATACATGTAGGCATGTCCTCACAGTTATATTGGCTTCTGATGCTGCCATTTTCTATTGCTAAAGTGAGGCTTAGCGGAAAAGAAAAACATGGAGATAAGGATAGGTGTGGAAGGTTTAAGAGGGTCAGATACAGAAAAGAGTATGGATGATGATCTAGTATTATTGTTGTTGTGCTGTAGCACTTTGAGATTTGTATGTAAAGTGCATTACAAATTAAAGGTATTATTATTATTATTATTATTAGTATATACGTTTTCATAATAATTGACGAGACTGACTGGCATCAACTAATTTGTCGTTGTTCAATGCTGGTTATTTCAATTTCAGTGCATTGTTTACAACTGATGCATTGCATGAAGGTGGATTATGTTGTCCTTTGAATGGAAAAAGGGTTGTGAAAATGTTGAAAAGCACAGAAAGAAATCATTTCAACTAATGCATATTAATAAACGAGTTGAAAGTATTATACGAGTTCACCCTTAGGACTGACATCCAATGGGCTAGTTCAGGCTCATGCTGGGTAATCAGGGGCAAAAATGAATCACGATTAATCTCTCCATATTGACCGATCTTTCATTCTGAACTTATGTAGCTGCGCATATTATTTAAGACACAGCGGAAGATAAGGATAATGCTGCTTGTCCTCCTGACTCCTCCTCACTTTGTTAGTGCCACATGATTGGTGTCTATCTGTTTTTCTTTTAGGTGACGACAATCATGATTTATTGAATCTACGATATTTTGATCTTTTTGGTACTGCTAAAGACATTGCCACAAATACATTGTGGAAACACAATGCATTTGTGGCATAGGGACAAGTTATAATTAATTTAGATATCCAATTCCATCTTTCCCTATTAAAAGAAAACAAGTACCCAAGCTTTAAACGTCTTCATAGAGGTATAGTCAGAGCGTACAGTAAATGGAAGAAGTTGAATTATAGTGTGGGCTTTTATAGCAAGATAAAAAGAACTAGAAAGGTTTGGGTTGCATCCATTGATGTATAGTTAGATCTTGTTGTAGCAAGAATATGTTAGCATTTAAAGCCACATTCAGTAGTGAAACGATTCATAGACGTGTAGTATGCTAAGTCTTATTCCCTTATAGTAACTCGCAGTGTTTTCTACTAACCTGTAGGCCTACTTTTATCCCCCTCAAAGCGACCAGGAGTGTATCCTCATCATCATCCATCCAGTGTGGCCTCGGCTACAGCGCGCAAAAGGACAAGCTTTGGCGTTTCTTTCTATAGAACTCTACCAAGTATAAAACAAAGTATATAGGGACACATGCCCAGATGGTTTTGGGATAAACCCGGAGTTCTTTACACGTGTTCTGAACCCAGCGCTTGTTTGGAGGTACGAGATTAGAAAGGTGTCGCGACTCTTCCTATCTGTAGAAGATGGAGGGGGGTGCGGGAACCGATGTCGACAATCCCCTTTTCTGAAAAGTCAACTTGAAATGCAAATGATTATAGAGTCAAACGGGTCTCGGCGTTCATTGGAGCTGATGGCGGTCGCCCACGGTCGCTGTCAATTCAAGACCACCGTATTTATACATCCTAAAACAAATCCAAAAATAATAATCAGAGGCACGCATTACATCTACAACAGTTACTTTGCTCAAATAAAGTGTTTGTGAAAGCCAAAACGAACGACACATAAAGTCACCCAACAGGCTCCCTTCTCCTTGGTGTCATCAGCTGAGGCGACTCACACAGACCCACACCGACTGTCACACATTTGACAGCTCTGCGTTGCACTCATTCTAACCCCTAGGACTTCCCGACACGTCTCATCAAGGCAGACAAAAAGTGACTCGACTCACCAGAAACAACGATCAAAGTGCTTTCCTCCACACGTCGCTGTAGCAAGTGTTATGTGCGAAGTTGTGTAGTAGTTGCGCTCGGCTGCTGGCCACAGACAGACTCGGCTGCTGACGTGACTGTGATAAGGAGCTATTTGCATGTCACACACTTCCGCCCTCACTGCCCTGCTCACACTCTGCACTTCTGCCCTTTTCAGCGCATGACTTAGCGCAAAGTCGTAGCACTGTTATTAACTATCCACATCAACATCCACTTTCTTATTAAGTCGACAGAATCATTTATTACTAAGTAACGCGCGATCGTTTTGAGCGCATAAGATGGCCGCGTCCGAACCACAGCCAATCACAGGCAGCTTTACATTCGCACATGGACCGAGCTCCACTTCAACTCCAGTCTACAGGTTCTCAGACTGCAGGCGCGGTCTGCCATCTAGTGGTTCAAGTACTACATCCATATTCTTTCAACAGGATGACTCACATTATTAGGAGTAGGCACAACTTCAGCCACCGCGCACATATCTGACAGTGGGGAGTAATAGTTGCATTAAATTGTCTGTAAAGGGTCTAAAAGTGTCAATATGACCAAAGGGCTGGTCAAAATAAAATGTTTTCAATTTGACCTAAGGATAGCACATGGATGTCTCCGCCCATGGTCAAATCAGAAGGTGATACATCTGTCAGAATCAATGAAGTGAGGACAACTTGATGCAAACTATTCAACTGGAGGTTTGTACGTGCTGCAGGTAAGGTATACAGCTGGACCTCATGGGGCCTTTCACTGCTGGCGAATCCCAAAGTTAGAAATGACTAGAGCACCTTTTTTTAAACCTTTAACTTGGATTAGACTCCATGATTCAGTCATGACATGAACAAAACTAAAAGAACCCTTTCCCTTTATTGACTACAAAGAGAAACAAAAACATACAACTTTGCACAGGTGAATGAAGCAACAGTCAGTGTGTATTCTTGTCTGTATTATTCAATACACACTGGTTTACATCATTTAACCTTGAAATTTAAAAGAAAAGTTTAAGTGTAGCTCTGTTTCAACTCCAGCATTAGGCTGAAATCTAAATTATTAAAAATAAATACGAGAGCCTATCACAGGTTGTGAAATTATGTATCTTTGAGTGAGATTTATGAAAATATATCCTTACAACAAAAAAAGACTTGATCATTCATAATGAATGATGAATGAATTCTGATGGACTGCATACATCAGAATTCATTTCTAAATTTGTCATAAAATAAATGTGTACAAAACTTTTAATAGTCATAAGCCATTGAAAGATTTAAAATACAAATTAAAATGCACACTTATTAAAACACCTTTAAAATCCGGGTCACATACACAAACAATGCAAAACATTGTTTTACATGGTAAAGAAAATTTCAGAACAAAATAAAAAGTAAAATCACACACACATAAAGTATGTGTCAGTTGTACATCCATAGTAGACGCTGAGGAGCTGTGACAGGCAATAATTGTAGACCTGTCACAAATGTATATTGAACCAAATCAAACTTTGGTGATCAACCAAACTAAATATAATTCTATAAAATATATCTGATAGCAGTATTGCCTTAATGCACTTCTATAGAAATGTAGACTCTCTTAATATAAAGCTGCTTGAAAATATCCCCATAACAGTTTTTAAAGCTCAGCATTAATAGAAAGATCCCATTGAAGGACCCAGTCCAAGTGGCAACGCATCTTTTGCCAGCATCTCCATCTAGTGGCCCCAGCTTGACTCTGCAGTCTCAGCTTTGAGAGGGACTATCCTCTTTACTGAATGGTTGAGTTGATCCGGGCTTCACCCAAGACAGTCCTGACACCTGCGCTCCCTTGTGCTGCTCCTCAGGCCGTCTCTAAGCAACATCACAACAAGAACAGAACAGAGTCCCAAGTGAGATGCACACAAACACCGTTATCTCTGCAGACTGCATCCATAAGTGCCACTTACTTTATATGCAAACATTCGCTCTTTAGCTTCCTCATGAAGAGCAGGGTTCCATGGAGAGAAACTGTTAAGTCAAAATTATGACATGCTCATTAATACAATTTTCAATAAAAACGCTATCAATTATGAACAAAAACACACACCTTATTGCATATGGATCGTCTATTTTGGGCTGGTCAAAAAGATGGCTGTTGCATAGTTTTACGCTTTCCACAACTTTGCTTTTGAAAAGTTGTACGTCTTTTTCATATCTTAAAACAAAAAAACAAAAGTCAGTTGAATGGAAAGTAATACTTAAGGAAAAAAAATGATGGGAGATTACATCCAACTCACAGAACAGCAGCCTCTGGATTAAGTGGTTCAGTTGTGTTGATCTTATAGAAAATAGTACGTGCATACATTAGGACTTGCCAGATATGGTTGTGATTCCGTCTGTAAAAACAAACCAGCTTTTATTGTGGAATATGAAATCCTAAAATGTGATTATTTTTAGTTTAACACACCTCCATTTGGTAAAAGCTCTTCTTACATCAAGCTCTCCTGATACAGGATCAACAAGGGGATGGAAGACAGGAATGTCAAACACCAATTTCTACAAAAGTAAGCAGAAAGAAAAATACTCAAAGGGTTTCTCAAATATAGTGCATTATACTGTACATAGAACAAATTATGAGTAAAAGTATTTTTATTTGCATTTTTGTTTTTTGCACGAATACAATTGTAACGTTGAAGGAGCAGCTCATATTTAACATGTCCTCTGAAGACATAAAACTGAACAGACAGGAGACCCGCAGCCAGGAGGTGCTCTTGATTTTGCCCTATTGTAGTCCAATCCATGTGATTTGTCAGCAGCGTACAAAAGTAGTATTTGAATAAAGTGTAATAACAGAAAAAGTCCATACTAACAGGGCATTCTCCATCAGGATAGTTGTCTGGAATATACACCGTGAATTTGAAGACACCATCCTGGTACAAGCCATGTCTGATAAATATGACACCAAACCACACTAAAAAAGGAGGGCAGAAATATGTAAGATTTCAGCAAGAAATAGTATTATGAGAATTCAGACTTACTCAAAGCAGACTTGTAGGATGGTTGAACATAAATGCCTGGGAGCTTTTGCTTTATTACTAGTGTACTGTAAGACAGTCAAACAAAAGCAGATTGATTCAAACCAGTAAAAACTCAATTACATAATATCAAGAGTAAAAAGTAATTACACTTACAATTCTGCCAATAGTGAATACTCCAGGTAAAAGGGGCCATAAGAGGCATGGGTGCCATTTGTTGACTGCACAGGGGCTGTAGCCAAAGATGGCTTAGTGATAGGGATTGCATTTTTGGGAATAGTTGGAAGCTGCTTTTTGCCAAATGAGAGACGGGCTGGACTGCCTCTGTGGTCAACACCACTCGATTCTTCATTATCAGACCTATGCAGCTGAAAGGGGGAAGAACAGCTTAAAAAAAATGTCAAATTAAATTAAGATAACAAAAATCAACAACGGAATTTTTTTTTTTCTAAAAATAGAAAAGGAGAAAAATAGTGAAGAATGGCCTGTATACCAAATAAGAACACCTTTAGCATGAGATCAGTAATGTCAGTAATGGCACTAGAATGTTCACACACAGTTCACAAAACATACAGCAGGACAACAGATACTAAAATAACCCCTTACAAAACAGTCACAAAATGCTGCACTACAGAACAAGGCTGCTTTATTTACAAACCACCCAAAACTATTAAATTGACACAATAAATTCTATGTCTTGGTGGCCTTTATAAAACGGAATTGACAGTCAGTTACCTTGCGGCTTGTATTAGTAGACATACTCCAAAAAGGGTTCAAGTTCATCACTTGTAGATATGTCCTGTTTTGTAGGCACTACTCCATAGGCCAAAACCTATTGTAAAAGAAAACACAAATATTTGATTGTGACTGAACATACATTCAAAGAATAAAATATTAAACTATAAAACACTGCACAACATATTCAACAATTAAGTTAAATAGAACTAAAACAAATGATGTTTTCAGTATTATTTAAACACAGTACATTAGTGACTTTGGCCAGCTCACCATATTTTTATTCTTCAAGCTAATCTACGCAAATCATATCAAATTATTAAAACATAGTAGAAACCATTGGGTCAGCACGGATATATTCTGTTGCCGACAGATGCTCAAGTAAGACAAGATTATCACCAGCCGTGTTGTTATGCTAACTGTTAAAGGGATCACAAAATGTAGCTAGGTCTACTTTTACAACATGTCACATAAGCTAACATAGGGCTATTTATTCTGCTCCAGATGCGTTAAAGCGGTGTAGCCTTAACGCCATGGTGGTGGTAAAGGAGCATCCGTGAACATTTAATACAAGCTGTTCACTTGTAGCCGTTTATGCTATACAGTTAGCTCCCTACTCGGATGAATAGGTATGGCGAACCACAACACTGTTAGATTTTTTCAGGTTCGATACAATAAAACATATGCGTAAAGTGAATCTATGACAGTGGAAACTTAAACGTGCCCGAAAAATCTAATTATACCCACCGTCCTAATGACAATTGTTAGTTTTCCATCCCTTTCACGGTACTTTCGGTCAGATGGCTAACACTAGCTAGCAAAGCGACTGACAGCCCGAGAAGAAATGTCAACCTACCCTAATGAGGGGCGGGACTTAGGGAGAATGTCGGCGCACCATTGGCTCCTCTCTTGAGCCAGTGCATAGACTGACCCGTCCTTTGGCCACATTCAGAAAAGCATACCTCCTTTTTTTCTAAGAGACGGGGTTGCTTAGTACAAAATGTATGCTACACAGGTCAATAACATGAGAAAAAAAGAGGCAAGAAAGGACAAGGTAGGAGTTGTTTTTGTGTGAAATTAGATGCAGTCCATGTCATGTCTACGTTTGTTTTCAACCACACTGTAAATCACTTTGTGTGGCATTTGTGTAAAAAGTAGTTCATACATACAATTGAATTGATCTATTTGTTTTTAGTTATTTTTTCTTTAGGTCCAATAGGATTATTACAGTTTGATCTGAATGTAGTTGTAGGAATGTTGGTGAAAGAATCACTTCTCAAATGTTTTACAGTTCTGAGCTTCCGTAGACTTGAACACAATTTGAGCAGTTTTAAAGTTGATCAAGTCACAGCTTAGTTCTATGAGCAGTGGGTTAGAGTGATGCCTATAGTGGGCATGCATTCACTTTTCTTTTGCACAGTAACCAAAGGCTTTGAGTGGGACAGCTTCCCCAGACTTCAACACAATAGTTTAATTCAGCCATTCCCAAACTCAGTAACACCGAGGCCCCCTTAACAATCTGACGGGTCTGCGTGGCCCCCCAAAATAATAACCAAGAAGACAACATTAAGAATAGGCTCTTTGGGGAAATAGCCTCTGCTACAAACATTGTAATACAAAAATGATTACAGTGGATTATTCAAGTCAAATAATGAACACAAATATTTTAATATTACAAACAAAACATTATAAATTTAACATTAAATAATTATATATTTTTTTAATTTTTTTTATGACCTCCCGCGGCCTCCCTGCAGTACCCTCGCGGCCCACCAGGGGGCCGCGGACCCCACTTTGGGAGACACTGGTTTAATTATTACATTTTACATGAATGATAAAGTAAGTAGTTTCCTCAAATCATTTAATGAGACAGACTTTATTGATCCACAAGGGGAATTGCGTTGTCACTGTAGCTTGCATAGTATTTCACAATAAAAAATAATAATAATAACGTTAAAGTAACAATCTATAAAAAAGAATAATAATAAGATAATATTTGTGAGAATAGAATTGTCTGGATAGAAGTACTCAGGAATATATATATATCTGTGAATATGTACACATTTACAGTGTAAAATACAGAGGAAAATAGGATAGTACACATCTGTTAATGTACAATATATACAAGGACATAGTAGATCCGTCACAGAGCGGTGACTTGATGTACAGCAGGATGGAGTGTGGCATGAACGTGCTCTTGTACCGCTCACTGTGGCAGCGGAGCTGTAGGATGATGAACTGAACTTATGATATTAGGGTCAACAGAAAGTAGAATTTAATGCATTAGTTTTGATATTTTACATATTTAATTGGAGTTCATACTGAATAATGTGGGTTCCAGTATTGACCCTTGTGGTACCCTGCAGGTTATGTCGCTACATCTCGACTTGTGTTGAACAATTTATATAATCTATTGTCTTTCCCTCAAATTTCACTCTGATCAACCCCTCATGTCATAGTTTTCTATTTTGTTTATTAAAATATAATGGCCAATGGTATCAAAAGGTTTTTTAGATCAGTAAAAATTGTTTAAATACAAATGTATTTTGTTCGATACTTTTAAAGAGAAGGTTGGTCTTTGTGTCTGTTTTAGTTTGTCTTGTTGCCATCTCATACCAGTATGCTCCTATAATCTGTATTAAAACATATTGCATACAGTAACACACAATATTCATACACAAACAATGTTTGATTTAGTGCACTCACAATAAATTGGATGTCTATTATTATAAAAAAAAAAGTAATTTATTACACAATATAATGTTTCTTGGGCGCACATTTCTGTGTTGAGTTTTTAGGTATCAGATTGTATCTGTGTCCCCGCACACATATGGTTTCTCTTTTATATGAATGTTTTCCGTAGACATAAACAAGCCTAAATAATTACATAACTTGATTGTCATTGACTATCACAGTGGGCCACACTTTATTGGAATTTTTTTCTGTTCGTTAATTATTTTCATCCTCAAGAAAACCGTAATTTAACACATGAGTGAACCCATTAAGTCGAAGGAATAACAATGTCCAACAGAACACACAATTATTAAATCTGCTTATGATCTGATCGTATCTTGATCGAAAAACACTTGATTGACAGTACTAATGAATGTCCTGTCCTAATAGTTTTTGCAAGGGCAAGGTCACCATCACTCCTCTGACAGTTACAAATCAAAGATCTTTGAAACAAACAACTTTATACTTGTTTTGCCTCCATTGACATTGAGGCTGACACAAACAAGGATGCAAGTATCCACACCAGTGCGTTTGTAATCAGCTTTTGTCTTTGCTAACGCTTTTTCTTTTTAATCAACTACATCATGACCTTGCCTGGCCAAACAAATATACTAATGAGTCCAATTAAGAAGGATAATTGAATTAAGTGCATGACCCACTTGTGAATGTTTTTATCCAATAATTATTTTAGAATGCATTGAGAAAAAAAAAAAAAAAAAAAAGCTTTTTCCGAGCAAGTTAGAATAGAATAGACAAAACAGCTAAAGAAAAAGACATTTGAGAATAAAATAAGCCCTATAGGAAAATAAAAGAATGGTGCAGAATGCATACATAAAAATGATTGTATCGACTCGTATAGAAAATAGGAGACTTTGTATGAGATTGCGCAAGCTCAAAATACACATGAAAATTATCTTGTGAGACTTTGGGCTTCATTCATACATCCAGGTGCTAAACAGCGGGTTCTATGTGTGACTTATGCACCTATTTTAATGGTGAGCAAACAGTAAATGAGGACCTTGGCTTTCAGTCTGAAGGCCTCACCCCACCTGAGCAGTCGGGGTTGCTACATTAGACTGGCTGTCCCATTCGTTGACCAAGATGATAATAATGTGGTAACCATAACCTTGTTTGATTGTTGTGCTTCCAAGAGACTGCTGTTATTATTGAATCTTACTGTCATTGAAACGCAGAGGAGTGTGATGGACAAACACTTCACATTCACAATGATGGTAATACGACTGTAGCGCAGTGAGAGTTAAAGGCGTAATCTCCTGAAGCACAGGTCGCTGTGCGCATTGAATGTTGGTCTTAAATCCAAACTTATTTACGTACAATGTTATGTTATTTTATCATTTTATTTGGTTGATTAATGGTATACATGTTCTGATTTTTTTTTTTTTTTCTTTTTTTTCAGATTACTTTATTGAATGATTTGAAAATGTGTGTTCTGGCTGGTTGGGCTATTATAGTGAGTGTCTGTTACTTGAGAGATGAGAGAGTGAACATTTTCAAGTGGCAGTTAGACCCGCCCATGATCACCATGCTCACCACAACAGCTTCCTGATTGGACGGATTGAATTCAAATCCTTGCCGTTGGTCTTTCTATTCTCCTCCTACAAGAGAAAAATCTAAGATCTAAAATTTCCATGGTAATATGGACAAATAGATGTATTATTTTACAGATACTCACATCACCTTTAAGAGTTCTCTGTCAGGGACAAGCAGAGACTAAAGCGCATCATGCACTTAGCTGAGAGGGTGATCGGCCGCAGCCTCGCTGTAGTACCTGCACAAACTCAAGGGCGGGCTGGACATATCCCTGCCGATCCCTCTCACTCGGTACATGGACTATGAGAACCACTCCCCTGAGCCAGGAGGCTACACTCCATCTGGTCCAGATCCTCTCGCCATAACAACAGTTTCTTGCCCTCTACAATTGGATTCATGTACACTCCATAACTCATCACTGCATCCCATCTCATCAAAGTCATCACTATAAACAGTCACTTTATACTTTATACTATCACCTTATAATATCATGCCACCAGACACATCATCTACAAAGTAAGTGTCAATTTGGTGTGTATTTGTATATTAGAATGTTCCTAAGATTTGTTATTCACCAAAGCCAAGTCACCAATTTGTGACTTCCTATTGCTTACAATTATAATACAAATAATTCTAATTCTGATGTAGATATCAAATTGAATGTTGTGTTTTATGACCATTACAATTGTCATAAATACAAATATACAAATTTCGAATTTCACTCCAAATTCATTGCTTGT